TATATAAATAGAACTTTTAATCTAACAATTAATTTTTAAAATATTAATTAAAAGGTAAATTTTTATATCAATTTTCCGAAAAAAAAAAAAAAAAAAAAATAAATAAATAAATAAAAAAAATCCAGAAATAAAAAAGTAAAAGGAATAAAATTTATAAATATAAATAATTAATAATACATAAAAGTGAAAATAAGAAAATAACATCTAATTGTAATCACATGAAGGATAAAATTTAAGTTAAGTTTACAATATATCCCATCTATTTTATAATTATAATTAAACATTTTAACATTTTTAATATCAAAACATCTTATCTTTTTATAAATTTTAAATAATAAATACATAAACAAATAACAAAAGTCAAAGCCACAGCATCAACTAAAAAGTAAAAAATAAATAAAGCAAATAAAAGAAATTAAAAATGATAAAATCAAATAAAATCGATTGAGTCCTTAATTTCAAAATGAGAACTGTACATGTTATGGAGGTTGTGGGGTGCATTTATACCCTTCCAGAACCACCTGAATCCAGTCATTCGCTTCGCTGATTAAGTCACTTGTAACACCTTTATTTGGGTTGGTGTCAACTCCATTTTCATTTTTGGTCATCAACATGGGAGAGCCTCTCGATGTTTACAGTCTTACTGATGATTAAGCTGTGAAGGTACTTTTTACTTTTTTTATGGTTAGCTCTACCCATTTTGTTGCTCCTTGGAGTGCATGAAATTATATGATTTATTTTAACAGCAAACAAGTTGTAAAGCCTTTACTATGTGGAGAATAGCCTGAATAAACTATCATAAAATTGTCACAAAACCTTAAGATGTGGAGAATAGAATCAGAACTCAGAAATTTATGTCATCTGTCCATCATAATTTCATGTAGAAGAATTAAATCTCTGAGAAGGAATGGCTTGAAGGTATAGAATTGAAATGTGTTGTTTTAGATACAGAATTGTTTGTGTTAATGTTGACTACTGTATGAGATGCCATCTAGTTTTTATTCAATGGGGCTTTGTTTTTGAAAATGCTGGATTTCGGTGTTTCATTGAGGAAAAATATGATTTATTATGTGAATATGACAATCTTATACTTGGAATCTGGTATGGAAATATCAAATATGGTGATGTGTTGCTTTTTAAAAGCTGCTTGCCTTATCAATTGGTGCTAAAATGAAGGAAAGCGACAAGGTTGAGAAACAAGATTCTGATAGCAGTTTTAATATGATTAATAAGAATCAAGGCTGGCCACCAATTCTATGTTACTTTACAGCCAAAGGCACGTCCATCCCTCCAGGATTGATTGTTTTTTGTCACTTAATTTGTAACTTTCTCAATTTGGTGTTGGCCTGGTGTACTCCTGGTACCCGCAACACATAATAAAGCTTTCTTTGCATTTCAAAAAAAAAACCAATTCTATGTTACTTGTTAGATCTTTCCCTTCCCTTCTATCTTGAATAACTGACTTGTATAATAGTTTAAAACGAATACTCTTTCTTCCCCATGTTTGTGGTATGTGTTTCTCTATTGTTGAAAAGGAAAAATGAAGGAGAACTAGAACAAAAATAAATTTTATGGCTAAAATGTTTATGATACATATACACTAGAATATTCACTCGTAGAATTTAATATTCTAACTGCCATCTTTCCGGTTCAGTGGTTCCTAGCTGTCTTCACTGAATGGACATTGCCTGCTGTATTTATATTGGGGCATCTCTACCAAGCATGAGGAGTGGGAATGCCAATTAAGTATAAATCATTCTTTCTCCTAACTATTGCTCCCTAGGTCTCACTCATGTCTAGTTGTTCGGATCTGTCCCCAGTTTCCAGTTTCCAATCGAAGTGATAGAGTAATTGAGCAAGCGGAAGTTCAACGTTAAAAATGCCAAAGGAGATGCCAGGACACACCTTCCTGCCAGCTCCGAATGGTATGTGCTCAAAGTTTGTCCCTTTAAAATCTACAGAAGAGTTATGAAATCTCTCCAGTTTAAAGCACTCAGATTCATTCTAGTATATTCTGGATCTCTACCTATTGCCCCATGCATTAACAATGATTCTTGTCTTGCTAGGTATATCATATCCATTAATCTCACATTTTTCCCTTCATTCCCTTGGGAGTAGGAGGGGAGCAGGAGGGTGTAACCTCAGAATTCCTTTAACAACTAATTTCAAATAATGCAGTTCTTTAATGTCTTTCTCTTCAATAGTCCTCTTCCCTTCAAGGACATTTCTTACCTCAGCTTGCGTTTTCTTCACCACTATTGGGTTCCTTATCAGTTCTGACATTGCCCATTCAATGGTTGTTGATACAGTCCCTGTACCTGTAATGAAAATATCGTGGAAAGGAGATAGGGAACACTTCAAAGTTGGAGAAACGCTCGACCAACAAACAATAATAATGACTTCAACAGTTTAAATAAGGTTTTTCCTAATTATTTAATTAGGGGAGTGAAATGGGTTCAGACATATTAGGATGACGGTTTTATTGTTACATTTCTAAGAGGAAATTTAAGGTCACCACTCACCACACTCTTGAAGATTTAGCACCACCTCAATCAGGTCTTCATCTGATTTGGCGTTGGTTTGGTTTCTTGTTTTTCTTAATTTTTGCTCATCAATGATATCACTCAGTATCTTATCGATCTTCTGATGTAGTCTTTCCAATGCAGGCTTCATCCTATTTAAAACATGAAAAAATTTTAGTGAAGGGAATACATCAGGCGAATCAAAGCCTGCAGCCAGCACTGCTACTTCACTGATTCCTGATATGAAGTCATTTTATCCTTGCACCTGAAGCCAAATGCTGCCCTGGCAGTTATATCACTGGCCATTGAAGAAAATTTCTGGCTAAGATTGAAAGATTTCTCACCTAAGAAGACAATAGACCCAATCATTTTCTGGACCTCTTCTTCCCTTATCGATCTAAATGCCTTTACGCAGGGAGCAGTTAAGAGCTTCAAGACTGAAATCTTCTTCATTTGTCTCCAATAACTGCCATAGGGGGCAAAGGCAATGCTTGTGAAGTCATATGACATTACCTTGGCTGCAGGAAGTTGAGGCCTCAGGGCTAATATGAGATCATGAATCTTCATCACCCCTTTTCTACTAGTGGTGATGAAATGATAACAGCAGATTCCTCACCGAGTTGCAGGTGAATTATAGGCCGAAATTTCTTAGCCAAGTCTCTCAGGCGTTGATGGGGTAGGGAGCCAATCAAGTGGTGCAAGTTTCCAATGAGAGGCAGCTTCATTGGCCCAGCTGGAAGTAGTTTCTGGCCGATACTTTCGGCTTTTCATTGCTTCCTTTCTTTCAAAACTGTGAGCAAGAAGAATAGGAAAGTAAAGAAGAGAGGCAAGTGGAGGAGTTGTTGGAACTCCATAAGATGAGCTATGGGAATTGATGGAAATGTCTACTCTTGATACAACAATTCAGTGTCAAGCCTTCTTTCATAAATAGAAAGGTAAGTGTCATTTTGTAAGACTTCGAAAGTTTTGGGTGTACTTTTCCAAAATTAGATTAATTCTGTGAAATGTAACGTGTTATGAAATAGGATAGATAAATTGAAGAAAACCAAAATTAGAAAGATCAACAAAGACAATATAAAGAAGTGAAAATAGTTTGAACGTATACATATAGTCACAAAAATTTGTAATATTAAATAATGAATATTGATTTGTAAAATAATTGTTATCTCCAAAACCTTCCTTTTCGATCGTGTAGCAGATAAGACTATGAAGATGTGCTAATCATTTCATTCAAAGTGGAAAGGAAGGATTCCTGACGATCCTCACTACTTCCAAGCATGGAACTTGGTGATGAGTCGATGGAAGAGCACCAGTTAAATAAATTATGAGGTGCGTCTTGGTCAAACAATTGTTATAGAAACAGAGGTGAATTCCTATGTAAAGATTCATAAATAATTACCTTGGAAGAACATCAAGGACTTCTCACAACTAGGACCAAAATGTTAGTTTGCTGATCAACATAGACGAGAAAAATAAAGGAAAAGAGAAGAAAGAGAGTGCATGGCAAGAAAACTAAATTGCAGGGAGAAAGCATAATGCTACTGCAAATGCATGAAAGTGTAAAAAATAAAATAAAAGTTGTAGCATAAAACTAAACTTAAAAGAAGATAGGAAGATGAATTTAGGGCAAAGTATAGTAAATTGAACTGCAAGAAATCAAATACATTAGTGGAAATGTTCAAAACAAAATAACAAAAACTAGAGTTAAAGCTAATGGTAGCATAAAGTTGAGGACTAAGTTAGGAAAGCTGTTTAAGAAAACTAAATCTAAATTAAGGCACTGCTTATGAGAACTAAAATGCAAATAATGCTAGGCTTGTTTGCAAAGACTTTGACAACATCAAGGTCGAAAGCATTTGATAATAAGTTCTTTGAGATGTTGCCTTCCTTGTGATTCCTCCCTTAAGAGATTCTGATAACAAGCCACCTTATAAGAGAGCTTAAAGAAGTCTTTGAATACCATCCCTTCAAACTTCTTTCGAAGTTCAACATCTAAACCATTTTGAGCAGGCTTCACAAACTCTTGCTTTGGTAAGGCAACGTGACATTTCATCCTGGCGTTCCCAAATCGTGCAAGATAATTTGTTGAAGATTCCCTTAGTTGTTGAGTCAATCTAGAATGATCAACCATGGATATCTTTGGCTTTGAGCAGTAAAATTGAATGTGGAACAAATCCTTCATTTATCTCCAAGCAAACACAGAATTTTGCAGTAGACTCAAATACCATGTTAGTGCAGTACCAGTTAAAGAACTTGCGAAGAGTTTCAACTTCAAAAAATCATCACCTAATGCTTCCCCACACTAAATGGTAAACCTACCAATGTGTTTAATGGTTGATTGACTTGCATCCCCAGAAAACAAAGTAAATTCAGGCACCTTGAATCCACAAGGAAACGAATTATCCAGCTCTATGTAGTTTGGGTAAGGCTTGTGGTAGGAAAGACAAACTAATGGTCTTAGAGTTGGACCATATATCTCCTGGGCTAATTTAATCAATTGATTTTTGTCCATGGGAGGGGGTGTTGCTTGCAACCTAAATGGCTTAAAGGCATTGTTCTACAAGTTAGGTTGCAGGGCGGTGTTAGGACACCGTGCAGGAGGTACATATCTTTATTGGTTGATGTTGAATTGCTCAGTTGCATGGAATGCTACCTCTATAGGATCTTATGGTCCAAGGATGGCTCCAGTAGGATTGTTTTGTTACTGCCTATTGAACTACATCTGGCAAGCACCAAGAACATTATTTTGAGCATTAGGTACCTGTTGCACCACCTGTGGCTAACTAATATGCCCCCCATGCCCCATCGGCAACGGATCTAGAAGATTTTGCTAAGACAATTCTATTGTTGGAGGTATAGGTATCCTTGGGACATTTTGTTGCTGTCTATCATAACTCAATTTTTCATTCAATTCATTTGAACTTTTTTAAAAAAATTAATTTATCATAAAAACTCATAAAAATTATATAAATGCAAAAACAAAATACAAAAATTTGAAGATCTTCTTTTTCTTTTAACTAATATATTTACTTTTGTTTCAGGTTCAACATGCAAATAGAAAATTCAAGGATTTAATTGAAGAAATTAGAAGTTAAGGGTTAAATTATATTTAAAAACCTTACAACCTAGTCCATTTACAAAATCATCTTAGCAGTCCATAAAATAACCCAACTTCATAAAAAATTAGCCCAAAATGGCTAAAGCCAAGCTTAGCCCAAAACCAAGAATTAAAACCCTTGTTTCCTTTCGCTTGGAAGAGGGGTCTTCATTTTCTAGAGAGTTGCATATATAAGAAGAAGAAGAAGAAGAAGAAGAAGAAGAAGATGGGTCTTCATTTTCTAGCAAGTCGCATATATAAAAAGAAGAAGAAGAAGAAGAAGAAGAAGAAGAAGAAGAAGAAGAAGAAAAGGGCTTCTAGATCATTTTGGCTTCTTGATTCCTCTCCCTTCTACACATCCACGTCCTTATGTCTCACCCCAAAATTAAGACCCTTGGGCTAAGCAGTTGTTATAGCATAATTTTAGGTGTCGAATTCATAGGGGAGCTATATTAAACCAATGAAAAGAGTTGTCATAATGAGAAATTAAATTAAAAGATGATTTCTAAAATTAAGAATAAAAACATTTAGTAACAGATGATAATTATAATGGATTGAAAATAGTATTATGATGAACAAGACTTCAGGGTTTATTTAATTGATTTGTTCAATTGTTATAAATTTTGATTCCTATTTATTATTCAATTACATGTTTCACATCCCAAACAATTAATTAGAAGATTTAACTTTAAACACCAATAATAATAACTAATGTATTTAATTTGAGAGAAATTAATTTCAATAAAGAACAAACTGATTTATCCTTACAAGCTATCCAAGAGCGACAACATATCTAATTGACAATACTACAGTAAAGGATCAACCTGTAAAACAAATCTACCAATCAATTATATTCTAACAAATTACACATAACAAAAGTGTGACTAATCATATATGAAATTTGATGAATATAATTTTTAGAGTTTTCAAACCTAAAAATAATTAACAATCTCTCAAAAATTAAATTAAACAATAAAATCTATGAAGGAATCAAAATAAAATAACAAGTTAAACTCCTTAATCAAGATCGCCCTACCCTTGTTGAAAGTTTGGTTATGCTTTGACATAATCTTTTAGCATTGGAAAAGAAGAAAATAAAAGCCTAAAAATTGCTTCTCTAGATGCTAAACCTAGTTTTAAAGGCTCCTATTTATATTGGGAATAAAATAGGAGTGTTTGGTAATTAGGATAGCAGCCCTAGGGAAGTAATTTTATTTTATTTTTCTTCACACACAATCTTGTCAGACATGGGTTGGAACCTGATCTAGGGTGCGGAACCCTACATAATTCTGTTTTTGTGCAACACTAACCAAGGGTTGGAACCTGGTCTAGGGTGCAGAACCCTGCATGCTTCTGTTGTTCCTTTTGCGTGACAAAGCAACTTCATAAATTTTGCTTTTAATAAAAAATGGAGAAAATCCCATTTGAGCCTTCAAACTTCCAAAGTTAATCCTTAGATCCCCATCTTTCTAGCTTTTGGCATTTAAGTCCTTTCCTTCTAATTCTCTCCTTTTAATAATCAAACCTTCAATTATCAAAAATTTGCACAACATGAATAGAATGGCCAATTATGAAATTTCTTGTAGAAAAATACAATTCTTAAGCCTATAATTCCACAAATGTCAATGGTTAAGCACACTTTAAAAATACATTTTCATGCTTACATCACGTCCACCATCATCACTTCTCATCCATAGGCTCTCTTTCAGCTCTACCATTTTTCTCAGTTACCATCACTCTAACCAACCTCCGATCTCTAGTTTCACCCAACAAGTATCATTTTTTCATCACCAACCATCATCATATTCCATCACAACAACTGTTGTGTAAGAGAAACTCAGCTCTTGGCCATCGCTATTGTAGCACTTGGGTCTCTCCTTCTCTCAATAGTCCACTTCCTTGGTTTCCATCATTTCTACTACATAATGTCTTGTTGGGTATTTTCTTAAACAAAGGAATCTTTGGGGCGGTGGTGAAGGGAATGATTTGGGCATATTCCATGGGGGGGATACACAGATCGAACTCCGAATTGGCCATCCAAAGTTCCATCGTTTAATTTTTCTAAAGAAATACGTTCATCACTATTTTGATGTTAATTGCGTTTTTGTAAATGTTGATGTTAATTATAGTACTTTGGCAATTTTTTTTTTCTCATTATTGGCAGTTAATTTCCTACAATTGATTGTTGCGCTTTTGTGTTTTACCCGTTTGCATTATTCTACAATCTGGTTTTTACAATGATGTGGAAAGATGAATGAAGTTCATACTGTCATTTTGATCCATTCTTATTTAGGGATCTGAAACAATTTTCTTTTTTGGGTTTAAGGCCAACCAATGTCTAATGTATCATAAACCCATTTTGGGTACAACGTTTTGGACCTATTTAAGCCCGTTAGTGCCCCAAATTAAAATAATAATAGTAATAATAAAAAGAAAAACCAAAAAACTAAAAAATAGTGAAAAAGGTAAATATATATATATATATATATAAAGAAAATGATTATGATGATCATGATCAATTAATATAATTG